ATATATGTTTGCTTTAATAGAATATCACCTATATTCCTAACACCGAGGGAAATCATTTATTTTACCACTTTTTTATAGGTTATATTTAATTTAACTAATAAAATAGTTAAAAAATAATTTTAAATTTTAATCTATAATAAAAATATATGCGATTTTAATCAAAGTGAACAATAATATTGCTAAATATAAATAAAAAGTAGAAAGAAACATAATTTTTAAGATAAGGCCAAAGGCTGGGGAAAAGGTCAAAAACCCGTTAACGGTGATTGTGGTTAAAGCCCTCTGTCTTTTAGAGGTATGGACTCCCCCTAAGAAAAATTCTTAGCTACGCCACTGGTACAAACATTTACTGATTATCTATTGATGGTTTATGCCAATTTTTGGTATATAAATCATGATGAAAATCTATAAATGTATAAAGTTATAGATATGGCTACATCATCTGATATTAAGTAAAAATGAAAAATTCATTCCTCGCTGTGATAGAGAAAAAAATTAATGGTTTCTATAGCATTTTATTTAATTTGTTGACAATTATTAATAGATTGATGGACTTTTTCTTCTACCATCATAAAAGTTAACAAAGAGAGTTTCTTATCGGTTCAAGAGACTAACCGTTATTTCGTTGACTCTAGATTATTTCAAAGGAGTATATTGTTCGCTTTATTAATCAATACGCTTAGTATGCTCAAATATCTTTCCTACTAAAATCTTTAATTTCTTAAATCAAGGACGAAGAAAGATATTTAATTTTATTAAATAAATATATTATAATTGTACAATAAAAATATTACTTTTTATTTATATAAATATATATATTTAAGGAATAATTTATTTAGAGATGCTGATGAATATTAATGTAATTCATAAAGTGTAGAAAATTCTGCTAAAAATAACAACCAATATTTTATCGATTTTTTTAATTCTGGCGATATATTTTGGTAAATATATTTTGTTACTCTTTTCAAATCTAAATTTTGCAATTGTTACTTTTTACATTTAAAACCCTACAACAATGAAAACTTTCTTTATAGTCTTTTCTGAGCACCTTGTGCAACAATTTAACAGATGTCAACTAATAAAAATGGCGTATAACCGGCTATTTGTATTTCCACGATGCTTCGAAATTTATTTAATAAATGAATAACCATCAGAACATAGGTGGCCGAAAGGGGGGGGAAGGGGTAAAGATCAATAAATACTCCCACTCCTAAATTCCCCTTAACCTCCTTCAATATACATCAAGAATTTGAAATATGAGCAAAAGTTATTAATTCTTAAAAATAACTATTATGATTAAAAAATGAGTGAAAACCCAAAAAATTTTTGTAAAAATGTATAAATTTTTCAACATTTATAATAATGCTAATATGGTGAAGAAATTAAAAAGATATCGATACAAAATTACTTTATTTTAAATTTATTTATTATAAGATATAACTAACTCACTATTAACCTAATAAATTCTATATATATATACTTTTCAAAAGTAAATAACAATCAATTTAACTATTAAATTAATATTATGTTAAGTGAAAGAAATAATATAACAAGTCCGTTAAGGTAAAATATAAGTTAATATAATTATATCAACATTCCCCCTTCTATTCTTTCTTCAATCTGTGTTCCTCGCAATCGTCGTGGAATCGCTTCCAATCGTTTGTTGTTTTTGTACCTATCTCTTCTATCCTTGACGTTCTATTCAAATCGTTATCATTAATTCGTCGTTTAGTATAGAATAATTTGTCGAATGTCAAATAAGAGTAATGGAATTGTAATATAGAATGTATTAGTAGAATATTGAAATGAATAGGAATTAAGAATGATAAAATTGGAATAATAAAATTCTATAATTGATATGCGATTCGCGTTTTAGTTTAGCGATTAAATTTATTCTTATATTTTGCGTTTTATATAATTTTTATATTGCATATCGATTTTTTTATGATTTAAAATGTGCAGGTAGAATATTATGCACACGTCATCTCTTTATTTTTCAGTTTAAATTTAACACCTTTGTTTTTTAATTTAAAAAGCATCTTAATATAAAAAATTTTCTTCAAATTATATTTTGTGAAAAATAATTTCTTTAAATATTTAGTAAATGATCTCTTTAATTCCTCTATGTGTGGTTTTTTGAAATTTAGACATATAGTTTTGATATTATTTTCTATTCCTTTTAATAATTTTATTCTTCACAAATTTTTTATCATTTTGTATATTAATTGAATCACCTATTTTTTTTAATACTAGTTTTACTTTTTTATTCTATGTGATTTACACATTATAATTTATAAGACTTAATACAGTCTTCATATAAAAATTTTATTAAAATTTTTAGTTACAATTTAAATTTTTATATATTAAAGTAAGAAATATGTCCCTTATATTTTTATTTTTAATTTCACAAAAAATTTTCCTGTTAAGCCTATTAACGTCTTTCCAATTTTGATAAGAGTCTGAATCAAAATCAGACTCAAAAAAATATGGTATTATGTTTAAATCGACTAACATATTTGTCTCAGTAATTTTATTGCAAGATTTATTTTGAGTTTTGTTATGATAGTTAATATTGTAACTATAAGTTTTGGATCGAAAATTATTATGTTTTTGATCTCACTTTGGATCATACATTTCTATTTTGATCTTTAAGTTATTTCATTATTTTTATATTATTGTACACATTTTTATCTCTAACCATCTTTTGGTTATAACTTTAGTGTCTTCTGCCTCACATACAGTTTTTATCATCTCATTAATTTTATCTAAATTTTTATTTTATAAATTTTTTATCCTTAGATTAACTAGCTTTATAGAATTCTAGAACTTTACTATTTTTGGATATATAATTTGAGCTTATCGATTGTAGTATTAGTTAATTTGGAAAATTCGATAATAATTTCATCATTTCTATCATTTTTAATATTAAAGAAATTCGGTCATAATTTCATCATTTCTATCATTGTTTTATTATTAAATTTATCATTTATCGGTTCGTTTATACACTTTTTTTATTTTTATAAATAAGAATTTCTCTTAGTTTAAATTAACGGTGTCCTTTTTGTTTTATATAAGATTTTTTTTAACGGCCTTGTACTTTGAACTATTTTTAAGATGACCTTTGAAGGTTAAGAAAATATTTATTTTATTTATTAAATAAGTTCAAGTTCATCGACCTTGTTCTTTAACTACTTTTAAGATTAATAAAATATTTATTTCGTTAATTTTATTTTACTTTTATTTATATGTATTATATATTATTTTATTATTTTTTAACAATGATTTATGACGATTAAAAAAAGATATCCTAATGGCCGAGATTGCCTTAAATATTAACTAACTTGATAAATCAAATAAATAAGATCAAGTAGACAAAGTTATGATGACTAAGAAGATATATCCGATAAGGTCCTTACTCGATCAAGATGGAAGAAACTTATCAAAACAAACCCCACAACTCATATCAATGATAAAGAAGAAGAAGATAAATCAAATAAATATTTGACTAAAAGAATGATAATAAGAATATCATAAAAATAATAAAATAATAAATATATGATTTATATATTTTTACCTTTCTTTTATTTTTATTGAGAAGCCAGTATGTTCATTTAATATATTTTTAGATAGAATCTGCTGACTGATTTATTGGATTTTATAGTTTTTTACGAAGTTAATTTAGATTTAATATTTAACATCTTTCTTTTAATTTATTATTTGTTCCTATCTATAAGTAGTGTTTCGACCCCCCATTGCAACCATGCTAATATGTTAGAATAATTATCAAGATATCGATACAAAATTACTTTATTTTAAATTTATTTATTATAAAATATAACTAACTCACTATTAACTTAATAAATTCTATATATATACTTTTCAAAAATAAATAACAATCAATAACAATTTTATTTATTACCTTATCACTATAATGTCAATTTATAAAATAATCACATTTGTTAGTATATCTTTTAAGGATAAATAATAATATATTTAAATAATATAAATAAATATATAGTAAATTAATATAATAAATTGAGCATATGATTTAAAAGAATTATGAGTTATCATAGTTTGCCCTTCAGTTTTTCTTTTTCCATCTGAATATTCCTCTCTTGTTCTTAATTGCTTTTCTCATCGCCGATTCTAAGATGAGGGTTTGGTTCTTTTGTTGACTTCCATCTGAATATCCCTCTCTTGTTCTTAATTGCTTTTCTCATCGCTGATTCTGTGATTAGGGGGTATCAGTCATTGAGAATATGAAGCTGAGGTAATTGGATTTTATTATATTGAGAGCTAATCTTTGGCGTAGGTAGTAACCCTCGTTGGGATCTTCGGTCCTAGTAGAGATTCGTTTCCCTAGCTCTTTAAAGAAGGCCAGAGCATGAGAGCCGAATGACGTTAGAGTCGTGGCGATTAGTGGAAGGAATGTGTAATTGGCCGGAAGCGGCGAATACTTAGCGAATTTATTCGTCTCGGCGTCTACTAGAGCATCTCTATTTATATTGGAAGGGGCAAGGGGATCGATGCATGAGAAATCCCAGGTTAGGAATTCCCCCCTCTTCCAAGAGATCATGGTAGAGCCATCGGGAATTGTAGAGTCTAGTAGGTTCGAGGGTTGATGGGATGCCGGCAGATTTTAGGGCCCTGGCAATAGTATCATTGCATTTTGAATGTCTAATGAATCTGCCTCTACAGCGCTTGCAGTGTAAAGAGTGACGGCCTTTGGAGTTGACCGGCGTTTGACAAAGGATGCAGTGATAGGGTATTACCATATCACAATTAAGTCTTAGACCGATGGCGTGACGTAGCTCATCATTGCTTAAGAGCTGGTCAAGGTTTCGCGATGGAAAAGCTTCGAGAAATTCATATCCGCTGTTTGCGGAAATGGAGAAGAGTAGAGAATGGTCCTCGGGTTGGCTTTTCGATTTAAGGTATGCAACGGAGTTGCCAACTAGAGGTTTATCCCTGTCCTTCTGCTGCCGATGAGGGAGGATCGACTAATGAAAGAGATTTCCATAGATCAATTGCCTGGGGAAGTAAAGGGTCGGGATGTTTTGTGAGTGAGTGTATGATGGGCTCGCAGGACCGGCGAGAGGATATGAACGCACTACAGAGAGTAGGGAAGGCGATCGTATGCCAATGCCGCCGGATTTGGTTGGCAAGGTAGCTTGTAGCCAAGATAGGTCTCCGAATTTGAGATTGAGTATATCCTCTGTGAGGTGTTTAATCTCTAGCTCGTGTGCAGCGAGGTTGACTTCGTATTGGAAGATACGTGACGATCGGAGTGTATATAGAATTTTTGGGATTAGGAGGTAGTTCTTTAATAGAAAGAACGCTTGGTGGGCTGGGAGGCGAGATAGTGTACCGCGCATAAGGGATATCTCTAGTAGAGTGTCGGCGAAGAACTTGACAAAGGACTCGTCTTTACCCACTGGAGATCCGAGATGTGTTAAGAAGTTCAATGGTGTATGATTGAACATAGGATCATAGTTAAGATCGATGATTCCAAGAGGACAATATTCGCTCTTGTCTTGATTGATTCGCAGTCCCAAACTGCTCTCGCTGGATTTTATAATTTCGACCGCCTTCATAACTTCGCTGGGTGAGCCGCCTAGTATACCATCGTCGATATACCAGTTATGAAGGTTTAGTTTACATTGGTCATTTATGCCTTGTATTAAGCTATTAATGCCCAGACAGAATAAAAAGGAGCCTAGAGGGTCACCTTGTTGTATTCCACTACTAGAAGGAATCAATCTATCCCCAAATTGAAGATGCGATGGACTAGCATAACAATCGAAGATGAATTGCGAGTATTCTGGGTAAAGGGTAAGGATGGGATTAAATAACGCTGTACGTTTTAAAGAGTTAAAAGCGTTTGAAAAATCTATCTTAATTAGGATATCGTCACTGGGGTCTGTTTGTAGATACATTCTGGTCATGTGTAGGGATACCTCACATCTATCTTTTACGTTGACTCCTAATTGATTAGGGCACAGGTGATTGGATACTGTGAACAATATTCTGCTCACTACTAGCTTTGCGGTTAATCGGCGCCAAGTGGTTCCAATAGCGATAGGGCGAATGTCTTTATTAGGTTCAAGGAGGGCGATGAGTTTAGCTCCATAAAGGAGTGGAATAATGGCGGGTGGTAAGCCTCCAGCAAGCATACGGTTGATGAGTTGAGTAATTTTTTCCAAAACGTCGCATTGTTGTGTGATATAAGGTGCGGTTAGATCCTGTAGGAATATTGGGCGAAACCCATCAACCCCCGGTGAAGAATCGCGTTTGAAGGAGAGAATAGCCTTTCTAACCTCGCTTGAGGTAAAAGTGGTTGCAATAAGAGGAGCTTCGGGGTAAGACGGTATTTCTTCCTTAAGATCGTGTGGGTGGTGTTTTAGGAGAAGAGCTTGATAAGTTGTTTGATCGTAGGGAGCTAGCTTATTGTCAGATGTTGGCAGTCGTATGGCGGATTTAACATTCAGGTTATCCAGCTTTTTAGATATAAGCTTGGCCTTGGTGAGTAGGTCATTTTTGTGATTTTTATTTTTATCAGTGTCATCACCTTTAAAAGATGTGGAAAAGTGATTGATGATTGATGGGTAAGGGGTAGATAGTAGCATCCTTGATTTGCTGTGTCAGAGATTTTTTGCTGGCAGGATCAGGAACTTGCAAGGTAGTAAAGGCAAATGACAGGGTGTCTAGCCAGTGTTTTATGGAAGAATAATTATTTATCAAGGAAGTCAAGTTCTTTGAGAGGTGTTTGGCAACTTGAAGTCTTGCTCCCTTAGGTATTCGTGAAATCACAAATGGTTTTGTTTTGGTGTGACTAAAAATATTTCTACATCTGTGGAGTCGGTTGGATTGAAAGTGAGAGCATTTTCGGCGGTTGAGGTGGGGACTATTGGGCTAGTAGGCACATCAGTCAACGTGGGAATGGTAACTATAGGTTGTGCGAGGGCAAGGGTAGAAAAGGCATTTAGGGTTCAAGGGATAGCTGGTGATAAGATGGGAAGCCCAGATTGAGGACATTTTATCTTCTGGTTTCGATGAGATGGCAAAAGCCCCAATTTGGTTACTTTAACGAGTTTATTACATAAAGGGCAGTTAGATTTGGTAGAAGCTGTGCTGAGGTCTGGTAAGCTCATGAATTTAAATTTTTTTATCAGTTTAAGAGTGAAAATGTTGGAAATTATTTTTATCTTCAAATATGGGTTTCTTGTGGGTTGGTATAATAAGGAAGTTTAATGAGTTTTTTTTTTTGATAAGATTTATTCAATATTTGAGGTTTGATTATGAAAGATGAATTACTCATAGTATAATTATGTACAAGTGATCATATAGAAGTCCCACTATCAATATCATTTTCTAGATAAATATTTGGTGAAATATTATTAACTGAATAAATGTTTGGCAATTTTTGATAAGATTTATTCAATATAATATTTGAGGTTTGATTATGGAAGATGATTTATTCATAGTATAATTATGTGCAAGTGATCATATAGAAATCCCACTTTCAATATCATTTAATTTCTGTATTTATTTGAATTCATATTAGTTTGCAGTCTAGCTTGTAATATTTAGTTCATGAAGGGGTTTTTGCAATGGTAAGCTGTAGAGTTCATATTCTTCTAATACAATGTAATTAACTATCAGTCATATTTTTGGGATAAATCATTGTCAAAGTTTTGTATCATAGCATAATGATGTGCAAGTGATTGTGTTAAAAGAAATAATATAACAAGTCCGTAAGTTTTTATAATTCAAATATATCAAATATATAAAATATTTAAAAATGTTATTTTTTTTAAGGTTAAGTTATCTTTACTGCCGACTTTAATTATTTTAGGCATAATTAGGATCAATGTTTTTCTCACACTTTTCTTTTTAGAAAATTCTTATCAAATGCTAGACCCTCTTAATCATATCGCATTTGTACAATATTAAATATTTTTTATTTGATCATTTGTAGGTTTGTAAAAGAAATTGTTTAGAATAAATTTTAACAAAGAAAAAATTATATTCCACAGATTGATATAAATTGAATGAAATAAAAATAACATATTATAGATTAGAGACTTTAAAAACAATCAATTTATTTGAAATATCGTTTCTTTGATATTTTTGTTATCAAATATTACTTAAATAAAATATTAAATTTTATAAGGTGCTTATAATATAAAATATATATAGATACCCTTATATAAACTAATTAAAATAGATAGTAAAAATCTACCACATTAACCATTGCCTTTAAGAATTATTATCCTAATTTGTTTATTAAAATTACATTTCCAAAATTTTATAATATAAGTGTAACATATTTACAAGTTGGAGTTTTATTTAAAAATATGGGTAGTAAAATGGCCTTAACTTGTTTATCTCTGTTTTTTTTTAAATTTTATTATAAACCTTCTTATTTATTTTATGGGTAAAGATTATTTATTTTAAATATAAAACTTAAAGAATATAATATCACGATAAAATATGTTTTTAAAATAAATTATAATGGATATCTCCTTTACACTTAATTCCTTTTATACTTATAGATCTTATGAAATTTCTTATTTTATTCATAACTCATGTTTCCATCTGGAATGGAACAGAATCTGTTAAGTTAATGTTTAAATTCATGATGAAGCTCGATAATCAGTATTACTTCTATTAAACTTAAAATTCTGATAAACATTGTATTAATAAATAATCCATAAATATTTTTAATCAAAGTCTTTATTAAAAAAATTTTAATGTTGGAAATCTAAATATAAAAGAGCCCATACATTGCTATAATTTAATCCCGCAAATGCAATAATCACAAACCATTTTTGTTTTAATTAGTATTTAAAGTTTAAGAGCCCATACATTGCTATAATTTAATCCCGCAATTGCAATAATCACAAACCATTTTTGTTTTAATTAGCATTTAAAATTTAAGAATATAATAATTAATATATTGTAATATCAAGATGTATAAATTATAAATTTTCATTGTTCAACACAATTTCTTCTTCTTTTGGTAATAATATTTTAGCTAAAAAATAAAATAATTACTTTAATAAAGTGAAAGTATATAATGGCTATTCACACCATTTCCCAAATGAGTCTAATTCATATTTTGAATAATTTATTTAAATATTCAGCATGCAGATTTTAAATTGTTCAAACTATATATCATTATAATTTAATTAATAAAGAAATTTCAAAATCCAATTATAATACTGTCAAATAAAATATTTACCTAAGAAGGAAAATTTTTTGATGAAACCTAATGAAAAAAATTTTTTTTAAAAATTAAATTTGATTAAATGTTTTTAATATAAACACACTAATATAATTAAAAATGAGACTAATAAAATATCATTCAGGATTGTTTAAAATATTCATTAACTTTTTAAAATTAATTTATAATTTTAAATGCCAAATATTTTTTGTATACCTTCAGGTTTCCTCTTCTTTATAATCATATCTGTTATTATATTTTAATAAAGAGAGAATGTATCAAAAGTTTTTTTTAACATGTAAATAAAAATAAGTTTTAAAAAATGTATTTGTTATACCTTTTTCCGCAATATGCTCTTCTCCGGACTTAGATATAGGGTCTATCAGATGCCAAGTATAAAAATATGAGAAAAAAATGAAACTTAAAAAATATACTGTCATCAAAAATATTTCTTTAAAATAAATTATAGATATCTCCTTTACACTTAATTCCTTTTATACTTATTCCTCATGAAAGATTAAGTTTCCTATTTATAATTAAAATCTCATTCTATCTAGAATGGAATAGTGTTAAGTTAATGTTTAAATTCACGATGAAGTTAGAGAATCAGTATGACTTCTATCAAACTTAAAATTCATGATATGCATTCTATTAATAATTAATCTGAAGATAAATGTAAAGATCTAATATGTTAAATTTATCATGAATTTTAATCAAAGTCTTAATTAAATAAATTTAATGTTGGAAGCCTAAATGCAAAATTGCCCATACATTGGTATAGTTTAATCCCGCAAATGCAATAATCACAAACCATTTTTGTTTTAATTAGTGTTTTGTGTTTAAATTCCTTTCCAAAATTTAAATATATTGTATTATCAAGATATAATAAAATAACATAAATATTTGTAAATTTTTAAGATATAATCATTTTATAATTTTAAATCATATAATCGAGACAAATATTTTTTGTATACCTTTAGGTTTACTCTTATTTATATTCATATCTATTATATTTTAATAAGAGAATGTATAAATTTTTTTTATATATAACAGATAATAAATAAAAATATGTTGTAAGAAATGTATGTTATACCTTTTTCCGTAGTAAGCTCTTCTCCGGACCCGAATATAGGATCTATCAGATGTCAAGTGTAAAAATATGATAAAAAAATTTAAAATAATTTTTTATATTTTAATGTTTAATATAATATATATATATACAAGTGTTTTTCAAATAAGGACTAATCCAGAATTCATCCATGGTGATGGAGAATCACTCAATTTACTATAAAGCGATTGTTAATTTTAAAAATTCTAATTATACCGAAAAAAAATTAGAGGGAAAGAGTAAGAAAAATATTTGAGAAAATTTTCCGAGAAAATTTCTAAATAAATATATTATAGTTTTTTTATATGAAATTTTTTTTAAAACTGTTTAAATTTCTAGAAGATGTATACTATATACTGAAATTTGTTTTCTACAAAACTAATCACATTTAAAAATCGCTCTTAGTAAATAGTAAAATTTGTAAATATCAAGGGAGAATTCAGAACTAATATCCATTCTAATTCCTTGTTTCATCGAAAATTTCTACATATCGATTGCCATTAAGAACAGTAATATAAAAAAAAAATAAAAATATTTTGAAAATGTTTTGTTTTAATTAAGCTTTCTTAAAAATAATAATTTATATTTTTTATTGATAAGAAATAATTTGTAATTTAAATAAAATATATATACCCATTGTGATAAATTCTATATATAATAAGTTATATAAAGCAATTAATTTTAATATATAGATTTTATCATGACATGATAATTTATGTAGTAATTTTATTTAATGTTTAAACTTAACACAGTCTACAATGACATAATTACTGGAGGTAAATTCCCTTCAAAAATCTTTACCTATCCCTCCTATAAAAATTTATCATCTTCGGCGGCTAAGGATATGAAATGTATCACCCCGCTAACGTTTTTAAATACAATGGATCTATAATAGAAGTAATTAATAAATTTTTACAGCAGAATATGTTATTTCATCTAAAAATTTTGATGACCTTTAATAAAATTACTACACCCTTATCTTAACCCACTTAGATGTCTAACCCTTACACTCTTCAGATTTGGTGTTAATCACCATACACCCCCCCCCTCCCTGAGTCCCCGAGTATGTAGACATATATTCGACATATTTGTTAGATGTATTTAATTATTAGAAGTTCTTGCAAAGGAATAATTTAATTACTATCTACCACTTATAACTAAAGAATGCTGGATTTTTTTAAAATTTATTAAAAACAGGAAAATCTAGCATAATTTTTTGAAGCAGATAAAGTTCGGAATTAAAATTTGGAATCTTTCGATGGTATTTCAACAAAAAATAGTAATAGGGAAATATAATAATAGGCAAAGACAATCCCTGGTCTAAATTCGCCGTTATACATTGAATAAATTATTGTTTATGAAGAACATAGCGCGTTTGAATTAAAAATTCTGGAAGTATAATACATAATCTCGCAACAATTGCATTCGATCAATAGAAGAAAAGATTGTTAAGCTGTTATTACAAGAAAAAAAAGAGCCTCTTTTAGCCGAGATTTTGATAATTAAATTATATGTCCTGATATTCAATAATTGCATTCAAATCAACATCTCAAAGTATCTTAAGGAGATTTAAATATTGATAGAGAAGGGATAAATAAAAATTTGTGATGGGGAAGGAGTAGTCTTTGAGGGGTAGATAGGGTAAATTTTTAAGGGATAGTGTATACATTCTTTAAAGGATTAATGTTATAATTGGTTTAGGAAGATGTAAAAGGGCCTGAGTCGAATTCAAATGAATGAAGAAAGATAATTTTTGTCAGAGTAAAGAAGGAAGAAGCTTAAGTATCAAAGAAATAATTATTTAATTTATTTTACTAGAATATAACAATATAAATTTCTCACCGTCATATTTTGGAGGTTGTGCATCCCCTATAAAATAAAAATAATAACTTTAGAAGTTTTATGATTTTTAAAAACAAAATGTATTAAATTAAAGATTTAGATAATCAATTATTATGTATGTTTACCATATAAAGCGTATTAATACTTACAATTTGGTCCTGTATATCGAGTTTAAATAATAAAAATTTATTATTTTTTTAAATTAAAGCCAATTACTAGATTTAAATTAACATATATGTTAAAATCTTTAAAAAAATGGAAAATTGTTAATAACTATAAAATCAATTTTTAATTTATCGTTTATTTATTTTAACCTTTAAGATTTTTAATTTTCTATTCAAAGTTTTGTTGGAAATTGTTACATTTTTTTGTTTTATCTATTTTGTTTATGTTTTTTTGTTATTTTTTTTTGTATTCTAAATTATTTTTATAAAAATTTAGTTTACATTATATATTTTATTATATTTGGAGTAGCGTTCTTTTAACTTAAAACCTGACTTAAACCTTTTTGTTATAATTAATTTTGTAGAATTTGTTTTATAGCTAGTACAAAATTTGGGAAACAAAAATACTAGTATTTCCAAAATTTTTAAGCCTATTTTTTATTATGTATTGTTAAGGTCAGGCGTTTATTCAAAGGGAAATTATATAATTACAAGATTCGCAAGTCTAGGCTTGCATCTAAACACTGGTTTCAATATTATTATTGATAATCCAAAAATTTTTCAGTGGATATATATATATATATCTAAAGGTTTATTAAAAGAATTTCAATCTTGTTATGAAAGAAGTAGATAATTCATAATTGCTTATTTTAAAATTATTTTGAAATTTTTTCCCAATATATTAAAATTACTGTAAATTTTACCAACAACACCAATGAATACATGCAAAAATGAAGATCTTTTTTCTTATTACCGTGAATAAATTGAAATAGTATCTTAAAATCGATTAATGCTCAAGCTTTGCTTAAATATCTCGAGATTTGATCCCCATTCAGAACAAATTATTGCAAAAATTATCGCAATCTCAAAGTTATTAAATTTATATTTGTGAATGATATTTTCTACGACGATTTTGAAAATGGGATTTTTACATAAAATGTATTTCAGATTGCATAGAGTATACCCTAATTTTAGATAATTTGACCATAAACTTTTGAACTGCATACTTTTAATTTTTATTAATTTTATAAATAAAGGGGTTTCCATATGAATTTTTAAAAAATACAGAGTTCATTTAGGAATTATCCGAAATCCATAAGGTAGATATTTCACGAGCTGATATCAATTTCTGGTAAAAATTAAATTTAATATATAAAATTGCATTAGTAAATTATTTAAAATGTAAGCGTTGTTATTAAAAAAATATATACGGAATCTTAAATAAACTATAAATATGATGCTAATTGCTCGATTAGATCAGATAAATTTGATGTATTTAGATATGCTGTGGATAGAGATAATTTTAATTTAAAAAAAAATTTAAATATATTTTTTGTTCGAAAGTAAAATAGAAATATTTTAGATAATCATTTAGAGATTTATGCAGAATGAAAATATTAAGAACTAGGTATTTAGCGATGTTTTTAATTGTTTTTTATTACAAGTTTACAAATATTTAATAATACAGATTATTTAAAGAAGTATTTTCAATATATTATTTAATGAAAAATTATTTATATTATAAATAACAAACTCACTTGAAAATCGATACCTTCCTTTAACTGAAGATATATAAAAAATTTCAGCATTATTAACATCATTTGTTTCCATAAACATTAAATTAAATAACTTCTGGTAATAAATAACATGCAATACGATTTAAAATACTAAATATTTGGATAAAATGAATTCAATTATATAAAAATTATTAAAATTGTGTGAATTTGCGGCTATGAAGTAGAAATAAAAAATTGAAGAAAGGAAAGAGAAATTCTTTTTTGTGTTATATGTATAGTCAATATTTTGAGCTAAAAACTTTGAAAAAGAAAAATATGCTAGAGACAAGTTAGGAAATTGGTTAAAATGGAAAATAAGGGAATGCATTAATTTACGTGCTAGTAGGTTATATGTTTAAGACTTTTAAAGAGGAAATAAAAAAAAATTAGGATAATGAATCTTAAAGAGCTACTGAAGAACTTAAATTTAAGTTTTTTTAACTAAACCTAGGTCTTGTAAAGAATTTATTATAGATATTTATGAAGAGAACTATTCGATAATTGCATTCAAATTAACACTCAAATTATCTTTAATTTTTGCGTTATAATATGTATGATTTCAAAATCATGAATTCCCAGCTATAATCCAACATATCGGGAATAAATTGCTTTAAAAAAATAATAATTGAGGGTCCTGATATTATTTTGTCAAGTTTTAAAATATTTGATCTCAGATTTGATATAAATTAAAATCTAAAGAATTTTGAGGATATTTATTTACTTGTTATCATTAATAAAATACCATTCAATTTAAAAAAAATAAATGGCCCGTTTTAGAGTTTAAAAGATTTCTAAATGCGGAAATTTTTTTGAGTCTCTAGTATATTAATCAAATAAAAACATTTTGATTATAATTACTTAAGAGAAGCAAAAATTACTTAAAGGTCTATGAAAATAAGTGTAGGAGGAAGATGTTAGTTTGTTTTTGCCGTGGGAATTTGCACAAATCTTTAAATTGTAGTATGATAGGGTTAAAATTTAAGATGTGTTTGGTCGTTTTTTTATAACAGATCTACCATGGATTATGAAAGGTACAAAGTTGAAAATTATTTTATTATATTAAAGTATCCGCATATATTCAAATAAACGATTTTTTATTTACATTATTATAGTTGGTTTTTATTGTATAAATATACATTAATATTATATCGAACTAGATGTATATGTGTAATAAATTTATGGAGATTTAAATATTGATAGAGAGGATATAAAAAAATTTGTGATGAAGGAGTAGTTTTCGAGGATTAGAGCGGGTAAATTTTTAAGGGATAATGTATATATTGTTTAAGTTATAATTGGTTTAGGAAGATGTAAAAGCGTCAGATAGTTAAAAAGCCTGGGCCAAAATTTTTAGAGAAATTGAAATTCAAATGAATAGAGAAAGATAATTTGTTTGTAAGAGTAAATAAGAAAGAAAACTTAAGCATCACAAAAATATATTATTTAATTTATTTTTATTGGAATATATTTAGTGCAATATAAATTCTCACCCTTATTTTTTGGAGATTGTGCTTTCTTTAGATCCCCTATAAAATAAATAAAGTAACTTTAAACTTTGTATAAATTTTTAAAATAGGCAATGTATTAAATTAAAGATTTAGATAATCTTTTATATATTTAACATATAAATCGTATTAATACTTACAATTCGGCCCTATATATCGAGTTTGAATGAAAAAAAATAAAAGTTTGCATAAATTTTTAAAATATTCAATGTAAATTAAAGATTTAGATACTCT